TAAACCAGCAAAGGACCAGCTTAAACCAGCATCCCAGCGTCAAAACATACCTAACCAGCATATGCTGGTTTTTTCAACAGGGATGTGAAATCTGCGTGAAGAAATCTTTCGCCCTCATGCAAAATTCCTGACCGCATTGATTTAAATTAAAATGACTGGATTTCACCTGCAAAAATTCACTGAACAAAGAAAAATCAGAGCACACATTTGTTGTTTACCCATGCAAAACCCGCCAATATAATATCAGTGCATTGCTGTGCGATTGTTAAGGTGTTCTGAATGGTGTTTAGCATGGTGCTATGAGATTGGTAAGGCTTTGCTAGGTGTCCATGAATAAACTGTGCACTAAACTCAACACTTAAGGGTATTGAAATCCTGTTGTTTTGTTTATTCCCTTCCAACCCTGCTGCATTGTCAGTAGTTGCTTTACTAGCGTTAGCATCGCTGTCGTCTGTGTAATTTAAGTACCGATCAGTCACAATGGTGTTACACATGGCACTGCAATCTGTTGACGCGGATCATTATGATTGTCTCTGAGTTTTACGTAAATTGCACCAATACTTGGTTTTAGAGAGCGGTCTAACCTGTTAAAACATACCATTGTTTACGCGCCTTGGCGGGCTTTCTGTCTCCTGGCTTCAGAGCTTTTCAGAGGTACTGATTCTCTCATTGTCTCCGCTGGTAAAGCACGATAATAAGTGTGTTTGACTTACTATTTTTGCTCTTCGTGTCACCAAACAACACGTTTCTAGCAAAATAGGTGCGTCCCAAATCGCGTACTTATGCACTATTCTATGACGTTTAGTAGTATAAATGGCGCGAGTAGTGCATTCACACTGAAAATTCCAAAAAGAAAAGTGCACTTTAAATACCCAGATGATGCACTTAAATAACCGACAAAATTAAGTGTGGAATGTTGGACACTTCATGCACTCAATTGTCGCAGTTTTAATTACGTACCGAAGGGGGAGAGGCTATGAGACTCCGATTATGAATGACAAAATAACCTTATATAATTCATACTATACATGGTTGAGTACATAGTGCATAATAGTGAGTGCAGTGTATAGTGTGTCATTTGGGACGCAGCTATTGCCTTTAGTGAAACAGGTCACGTCATCAACTTGCCGTAATACATTGACATGTATAATTAAAACACTTATAGAATACTATTATGAGTATAGTCTTCATATCATGTGTACACACCATTCAGATGACTTGACAAAAAAAAAAAAAAAACAGAATTCGCCTTAAAATACATTACTTCATTTGACTTTCTAACAAATGTGTTTTGGTTGAATGTGCTTAAAGAGATAGTTCACCCAAAAATGAATATAATCTGAGTTATAAAATGTCCTGGCTCTTCCAAGCTTTATAATGTTGGTCGAGATTTTGAAGCCCATAAAAGTGCATCCATCCATCATTAAAAAAGTACTTCACATGGCTCCGGGGGGTTGCGAGAGTAGCATACTGTCACAGGAGTTTATGCCACGCCTATGTCCTACATCATCAGCTGGAACGCCACTCTCTCGCGAACGTGCGCATGACAGCGGAAGCTAGAGATCACAATTGATAAAGTTTTAAATATGTATATTTTTCATTCACAAATGCATCGATTAACTTCAGAAGGCCTTTATTAACCCCCCGGAGCCGTGTGGAGCACTTTTTATGAAGAATGGATGCACTTTTTTGGGCTTCAAAATCTCAACCACCATTCACTGCCATTATAAAGCTTGGAAAAGCCAGGACATTTTTAAATATAACTCCGATTGTATTCATCTGAAAGAAGAAAGTCATACACCTAGGATGGCTTGAGGGTGAGTAAATCAAGGGGTAATTTTCATTTTTGGGTGAACTATTCCTTTAATAGTTTGAAATGTTTAAATTAGGTATTTTTTTCTGTTGTCTGGACCCTATAGAAGGCAAATTTGTGTGTTTCTGGTGAGAAGAAGCCTGTCATTGCTGCTGACCCCTGTAGTCTCGGACCAATCTACAGCTGCAGAGACCTCCAGACTGCTGTTGACTGTGGGGTAAGTGCACCAAAAAGCCTTATGCCATATAAATGTGCATGCACATTCTAGTATTCTAATCACCTTTAGCTTATGTTCTGGATGTTGTACATTAAATTTTATGCATACATTTATTTCACTCTTACAGGCAGTTCCCTTCTGTCAGAAGAACGTGTGGGAATAATCTGTTTCAGCTGTCTATACTACATGGTAATGTTGACGTTTAGTTTGCCAAATGTCAATTAATTGCTAATAAATTGATAAATTCCTTTATTTACTGAACATAATTCGGACCCATTGGATAACTTACTGCTCCGTCCTTGAGTCATTACATCTAGTATGTTCAGTGTGACATATTAAATATGAATGAACTTCTGGGGTCAACATTACCATTTGAAAACAAAAACGCAGTATGTATTGACTTATTGATCGGTTTTTGATTTGAGTGTTGAAACTCTTTTTGTTTTCTTCCAACAACAGGGTCAAAGGTTATTTGTGTGAGTTTTAACAGTGTCTCAGCATTAACAATGTAGCCTATATGAAAGGCTGATGGGCCTACTGGACCAACGCCACAGCATTTTTCCTCCTTTCCTGGATTTTCATGGTTATATTTGCTTTTCGAATTGAAATTGAGGCTAACAAAGTCACAGGCTTGTATAATATCTTCAGTAAACAATATAAAATAGAACAAACATGTATAAAAACATGTTTTCTGGGGCAGCTATTATTTTAACAAAAAGAAATACTGTTGCTCAAGCAACATCACTGATCTCACGATACTTTCAGTCTTTTCAGTGGTTTGCACAAACCATCAGTGAGGTCAATTCAAAGTTCATTTACAATATTATCTTGCATACGAATCATTACATTGGGGTGCATAAACATTTGATCAGTAATAATGTAAATTTTTAAACTAAAACAGCACATTTTCGTGTTCATTAGAGGATGTTCAGTATACTCCCTGTATTATGCAAATATTTTCTATAGTAACCATAGTTTTGGTTAAAATATTGTATTGCAGTTATTGGTCTTACACTTTGCATTAGACACCACTGTCATAAAAAACTATAGTATGTCACTATAGTATTTGATCTGAAACTATTACTATGGTAAATTATTGTAGGGCATACTAAATGTTTAGTTTACTTGACACTGTCAAGGCCTATAAATGGCAAAATAGCTACAATAAATGGTTGACTCAATATTTCTTGACCCTTAATGTGAAAGTCACTAGTAAAGACACAAGAGTATTTTTCTCTGTTGATGTCATATCCTGAAAATGTTTTATAATATATCAACATACAGATACAAAATAACCTTTTGTGCTAGACTGCAATGGATCTGTTTTGCTTCTGGCTTTTGAAAATTGCTCTTCACCTCTCTTGAAAATCTTATGTAGCTTTGTTCTCACGCTTTATGCACAAAGACATGTTGATTTAACCATATTATGGCATTGTCACTATATACTTCCCACTTTTATTTCATTGCTGTTAAACAGTAGCTGTATGTTTGAATGAATAAACAAACTTGCTTTCAACTGTGACCAGTCTTAGGCTGTATACAGGCATGCCATGTATTGTCTTCTAACCTATGGTATTTTGCCCTTAGCAAAGGCTCTGTCAAATAGTGGTTTCCTTACCTGAACATTTCTGACACCACTGGGAGACTGGAATTATGGGATCACCTTTGAAAATGACTCCGGCTTTTCTGTCAGAACAGTATATCATATCAACAGTTTATAGAGATTTCTCACGATCAAAACTCTCAGTACAATCACAGTGGTGAGGTTTGCACATTTGTGCAAGTCCTCGTTATTTAATGAGTGATGTAGAATGACACTGGTTTTGTGGTTTGTCACTGCAAAGGTGACTTCAAATTTGCCTTAATGTCTGGTTAAATTTGGTTTAACTTTTTTTTTGAAGGTTTTATTTTTAAGCATTAGTTCTCCAAGGAACGAGGCTGCACTGCTCAATCCACTCATCCTAAAACACACACACACGACTAAGGATCACCAAATATGAAACTCTGGTGTTGTTTGTTCACTCTTACACTGAATTTCCATCCTTTTTCAGAGTTGTGTCATTAATTTGCAATGGCTTGACACTTGCAAGACAACTTTTTCCCCATATTTCTAAGCATTCATGTTCATTTTAACTTGTTTTAGGTTAAAATATTTAGTTCAACCCTCCAGAGGTTGATCCAAAAAAAAACAAAAAAAAAAACACCATGAGAATATTGAAATATGGAAATGAAGGCCAGTCCCTAAAGCAGGGGTAGGCGACGTCTGTCCTGGAGTGCCGATGTCCTGCAGAGTTTAGCTCCAACCCTGAAAAAAAAACCTCACCTGCCTGTAGCCCTAGTAATTCTGAAGACCTTGATTGGCTTGTTCAGGTGTTTGATTAGGGTTGGAGTCAAAAAAAGTTTAGAACTTTACAGGACCGCGGCACTCCAGGACCGACGTTGCCTACCCCTGCCCTAAAGTATCAAATAGCATGCTATTTTTAAGCCATGTGACCTTTGAGTTTCAAGACTACATGTATGGACTTGCAGAAACCCCTGCTATGTGCGCCACAAATTTCAATGATCCATCTTCATGATTGTTATTGTTCAAAAGTTTGGGGTTAGTAAATTTCTATATTTTGTGTAAGATCTTTTATTCAGCAAGCAGGCATTAAATTAATCAAAATGAACAGTAAATATATTTATCATGTTACAAAAGACTTTCTATTCCAAGAATCCAGGGGGGAAAATAAAGAACTTCAAACAAAAATATTAAGCAGCAAAAACTGCTTTCAACAGCTTTCAACATTGATAATGTTAAAGCATCAAATCAGCATATTAGAATGATTTCTGAAGGATCGTGTGACATTGAAGACTGAAGTAATGACGCTGAAAATTCACCTTTACCATTACAGGAATAAATTAATATTTAAAAATATATTCAAATAAAGTTATTTTAAATTGTAGTATTTCACAAGATTACTGTATTTTTGATTAAATGAAGCCATGGAGAGTATAAACTGGAAAGAAAAAAAAAAAAAAAAAGTAATTAAACAACCCCAAACATTTGAATAGCAGTGTAGTTTTACAGAAAACCACAAATTTACTCAATTTTAGTTTGTATGAGTTCCAAGCATAAAATGGTTTAAACACCTTTAAAACAACGCATACCGTACATTGAAGGCCCGATTTTGTACCTCAACCACGGAAAGGGCTGTAAATGTTTCAAGGAG